TTTTTTTTCCTTTTTTTTTTTTTTTTTAAACGGGTCAGATATTGAATATTGGAAAACTACATTCACATACACAAGACAACATTCGAAAAATTTGTTCATTTTCCTGTTTATTTTACCATTTATATTTTGTGGGTGATATCTATTTTCGACGTTAAAAATATTATAAAGGGGGGGAAAAAAAAGTTGTCGATGACCTCGATCGCTTAATTGGCTTGGAAGTAATTGTTCGAAAAAATCGATGCTTGCGAAATTTTCAATAATTTTTAGACTTCTGAATTATATAATACTATTATTATATATATTTTTTTTTTTTTAGCTTAATACGTTCACCAATAATTTTTCATCCTCTCAAAAATACAATCTTTCGAAAATTGTAGACTGTTTCTATAAATAAAAAGTAAGCGATTTATCTTCGAGAAACGTCTAATTATCTGTTCCAATTCAAGCATAAATCCATGATTGTGTAACCACAAGATTTTATTGCTACGCAAGTTCTGAAAATAGAACAGTCGAATTATAGCGCGAAGATAGAAATATCTATTGCTAAATATTACTATTGAAATATTTTGATCGAATGAACTTAATATTATCATTTTCATTTACCAATAAAATTCAAAAATATATATTTCTTCAATCAAACACTCCTCCAACCTTTCTAAAAACGTAGAAAATAAAATATCTCGTTGCCAAATTCTAAGAGATATTTATCTAAAGGAAAACTTGCACATTAGCATCAATTAATTTCACAATTTGTTACAACGTACAGAACGAATTATTCGAAAACAAAAATAAATAAAAGGACAAATTGCCTCATATTTCGAGGCTATTATCTATTAAAATTTAATTCGTAAAAAAAGCGAAGGAGTGTGCCTCGAGAACTCGGAATTTATCGTTATAATTCCAATCGCGTTTCCCACGATGGGAAAGTTTCAAGGTTTGTTTTTCAAGGTGCGATTCGCATAGCAATTACACACGGGGGAAGTTTATGAAGTTTAAAAACGATTTACCTTGGATTCGAATGCGATGACTTCCCGCAATTCCCGCAAGAAAGCCCCGAAGAATGGGACCACCGGGCATTCCGGCATAGCCAACGAGCGGGCAAGCGCGAATTCATACTCGGATGACAAAAGGGCGGAGGAGAGGCTTTCCAAAACTGGTACCGGCTCGTTCACGCTGTTCCAAAAGGGTTTCAGCTTGTTGGACCTGCGTCAAAACCATTCGTGTTTGGTTGAATTTAATTTGGCAGGTGAAACGATCGAATGAAAACGTATGTATGTCATTGATCTGTGTATTTTTTCTTTATTGAAATTAATATTGATTAAAGTTTGGTAAAAAGAAAAAACCAAGGTTGAAATCGTATACAATTAAAATTTGTAATTGATTTTTTTTTGACATCATTAATTATGATTATTTATCTTTTTCTCATGATTTTTTTTCGAAAATTATTGAAAATTTGATATTCTTGACGTTAACCCAATTCGAGTTCACACGATTTTTAAGAAACGATATTTCATGTGCGTCGATATATTTAATGTAATTATTGTTTCTATACAAATCTATATACAAAGGAAATTGTTTTTTATCGTATTACATGAGGTGTTTAAGATGATTAGTGACTTAATTCCTGCGAGGCAAAGAGGAGTGTTTAAGTATGGTGAAACGGGATACTGTCGTGTTAATTTAATGCTTGGAGGTATTATGATACCCTCTATTTGAAACTTTGTGTTTTAAATAAAGTAATATGAAATGGTCAAATGAAGCACGTACAGAATAGATTAAAATAAAAAAGATTTGATATCGTCTTAAATTCGTTTAATTCGTATAATTTTACAACAAAATTTCAGATAACGTCCAAATATTCATTACTTCATCTTTTATTAATAATAAACTATATTTCCTATTTATATTTCTTATAAGAGAAAGAAATGTTATCGTCGTCCAATGTTGGATAACATATTTGTACAAAAAGTTATTTCATACACAAATTAAAAAGAATAAAGAAAAAAGTTCGAGATCTCATTCGAAGAAAATCAAGTTTGAAATCTTGTCGAGCACGTGTGCACTTGGTTAACTCCTGATGGAATGCGTTTAGCACATCTGTCGGTACCCAAAGAACGCCTAAAATGCCTAAGCTATACCTTAAACTGGATTTTCTCGAAAAGGCTTTAAACCCAACAAATTTTATTTCGTACTTTCATCTTTCTTTGAAGATGGAGAGCAATCTTCATTCCCTCGGAAGTGCACGCATCTTCAACTTGATTTCTCAAACTTAATTTCTTCATTAACATCGATAGATTTTATCCTTTTTTCCCCTTATTTTTACCTATATTATTTTTATATAATTAACGATGATAATTTCACGACGTAGTATGTATCATTATATTGTATAAAATTTTACATCATTTTATATCATTTCGTTTCACAATGTATTTTCAATAGCTACGAGATTCTTAATCTAATCTCATAATCTTCGAAACATCATCATCATTATTATAGATGTAAAATTTTACATCAATATATTATATCATTTCGTTTCACAATGTATTTTCAATAATTACGAGATTCTTAATCTAATTTTATCGTCTTTGAAAGACCATCGCCATCCATTGAAGAAATTTCCGCCAAAGTTCTGTGAAGTAATAGGTCAAGATGGCGCAGGTGCACGTAAAATTTCAACTATGCATTCGGTTAATCGCATAGTTCTCGAAACTGAAACTAGAGCGCGAGTTATATAGCGCGGGATAAATTGTAAATGGAGGAAACGACCAGGACAATGACCATGTGTGTAGGACGACTGTTGCAACTTTTATCTTTTCGTTCGCGGTTGCGGAGGTTGGCGGTTTTTTACGATCCCGGTAATAAAAACTATTTTATTTTTCCATTTCGTTTTTCCGAAACGACCACAAGGGTGCAATTTGTGGCACAGCTTTTCCTTTGGTGAATTTATAAAAAAAAAAAAAAAAAAATCTCTCTCTGTGAATTTTAATGGAGGAAGAAACTGTTGAATTCGTGGATAATAATTGAATTTAATTTATTTTAACACGGTTGAAGTAATCTGCGTTATTAAGAGCACTTGTAAATTATTTCTTCAAAAATTTTTGCGTCAATTTTCAACAATCATTAAGTAGAAATAAAAAATTCGTTTTTATTTAATAAAACAAATCAACTCAGCAACTCAGAAACTTTCAAGAAATGATTTTCTATTTTAAAAATCAAAATATATCCTGTTCATAAATTAGGAATATCTAATAATAATAATTAAAAAATATTAAATAATAATAATTAAATATTTGAACACATAATATAATATATTATTCACAATTATTTAATAAACGGATATATCGTTCGTAAAATCTAAATGCTAATCGTTAATTGAAACGAACTATGTGTATTTACAGAATATATTTCGAAATGGCTTATTTATTCATCGAATATTCATCGAGTTTATTTAAAAGTAAATTCATCCAATGATAATTTTGTATAAATAGTGAAATTGATATTTGTTCTACATGCTTTTTTTTCCTTTTTTTTTTAATCTTTGAAATTAAATTTTGTTTGCTCGTTCGTTCCAACGAAACGAAATATATCAAAGTCAGGATATATATATATATACTGTGCTGCTTTGGTCAATTTGTTTCGTTATTTTTCAACAATCCATCGGAATAAAACACACTTTGAATTATTCCTTCGTTAATTCTATTCTTTTCATTCAATTTTATTCCTTGTTATATTCGTGTTATATCAATTTTATGTCAAACACAAATTATCGTCCACACATGCACGTGTAATAATGTATATCACACGAATTTATAATTTAATTGAACACACACACACACACACACACACACATGCTTTTATAACAATTTTTCTTCAAATAATTAAGTGATCAAAGAGATGTATATTATAATTTTTGAAATTGCGGTACATGGATGTGGGTACATGGAAA